ATATCGCACATTATGTATGATATTCTAACCCGATCTATCTCGCGTTTTTATTAAGAGTAGTTAATGCTCCTAATAACCTGAAATTCATTATTATTATTATATTATTATTATACAGGATATATATAATGCCAACAGTTTGCGCAGCACTTTACAACATGAGAGCGAATAATAAATGGCGTTTGACACTTGTTGTGCTGCCACTGGACCTACTGACAGTAGTTTGTATTATACTATTGAGTACATATTGTGCGTTTTTTTCTCTAGTGACTAACTTTCTATAGGCTAAAAATTATTTTAGAATATATTCAAGTATCAATCACCCACAAAAACATGCAAAAACTCCTGAGCAAATGTAAAAAAATACAAAGTGACCAAAAATGCTCTGCTCAAGTGTGAATTGAGCCTCAGGTGAAATATTGTAGGAAAATAAATAAGAACACAAAATAATTAAGATGTGTGAGTAAGTGTGACATCCTGGGAACCAAGTGTCAGAGGGAGATGTGTGGACCCTTTTTCAGGTTGGGCACTGGGGAGTTGGTACATATGTTTGTTTTTTCTTGCTGCAGAGTTTTCCTTCTATCTCAGTGACTCCCCATGTTTCAGTGTGTGTCTAGGTGTCTCAAGGACAGGAAATGAGAGAAAAATTCCCAATGGGAACAGAAACAGCAATGAAAACCGAACAAATATTCTAACCCTTACTCACTTTACCCAAAACTAAAAACAAAAATGTTGGCCAAAGTTAGATCCTAAAAGCTAAGCTCACCGAAAAATGGCAAAACCAAAAATGGCTGACATTATTCCTTCCCAATGAAAGTACAAGGGCCTGATGAATGCAATTACTCTGCTTGGCTTGAGGCTTGGTTAAAAAATAATGACCATAGTAAAGCCATAATCTCTTGCTGGAAGATACCCCACCCATTTCATGGATAATCAACAGCATCCAATAGACACTTTTAGCCCCCACCAAAGACTGAAATGTCAGTTTCAACCAAACTTTAATGTTTAGAATTCTATTTAAAACACGTAAAATAACGGGCGCCATTAATGATCTTTTATTTATCAAATGTTAATTTAGAGTGATGCCTCCATTTTTAACAATCTAATGATAAAGCACTATAACTCAAGGAGCAAGACGGTGAGATGTTCCTCTGTAAATCTACAGTGTTCCTGGAAAAAAAAAACGACGTGCTCTTGCGGTGCAAGGCTCATAGGGTACGCAGCGTCCACCCTTGTTCTGAGAAACAAGAAATCTTGGCTCTTGCCGTAGAGCAAAATATTATTGTGCTGGCTAAGGTCGTTGCAAAGACCAGTAAATTGGTTGGAAGGTTTGACGTGAAACCATACATAAGATAAGTACGTCCTGTCCTCTGATTATGCTTGTGAGACTGGTGCGCTCTGTACTGTCTGTTCTCCAGTGTTTTTCTGTTCCCGAGTCTGGTGCCAAAAATGCCAAAGTCTCTCTCACACTGGCATGGGCCTTACTTCCAGTGCCGTACTGGAAGAGTGCCAGGAATATATTAGAGATGTGTCAGTAGCTAGAAGATATTCTAATCAGATCTATCTCACATTTTTATTAAGAGCAATGAAAGCAGAGATGGACCAGACTGAAGATCAGGGGAGCGGGACAAAATTTGCTTACTGGAACTCTGCAGGACTGGAGCTTCTGAGGCTCCTATTGAATAGTAATGTGCAGGCACCTTGGGGCCCTGTTATGGTATAGCACAGATACTTTGGAACCTTTTTTGATCATCTCATGTTTACTAATGGAAATGTTCATACTTTGTTGAGCAAGAAGGATTCTAGGATGGAATGAAGAGCACTTCTGTTTCCTAAGCCTAATGCCCATATGAGTCAATGCATTTAAACAAAACATTTATTTTTATCTTAATTCTTGCACCAGGAATAAGATAATTTGATCTGAATGTCTTCCATTACTGCAGACACAGTCCTGGCTAGAGAGGGGAGGAAGATGGTGCAGATATGTTACATTTCAGTGATTTAAATTGCCATCGCAGGACTACAACTACTTGCATTCCAACCAGTAGAGTCATGTTGTGTGTTGTCTCTTGACGGTACCAAGATTATGCCATCGGCATTGCTCATTCATTGCTTCCCTCTGCCAAGATGTAATATGTTATGTGATGATGTCATGCCCCATAGAGCAGATAGGGAGTTAGGCCAGTGAGGTGGTAAGTATGAGGTGCTGGGTGTTGAGAGGACCAGAAGAAGAGAAGCCCCTATTATTCTTTGTGGAGTAATGAATATGTTTTATTACAAGGGGAAGGGTGGAAGATTTACTGCTACTTCTTCATCGTCAGCCTACACCCTAGAGGCAGGGAGGTGACCAGGCTGTATAGCTACAGCAAAGAGAGTCAGGTAACCAGCCCAGCTGTGCTATTTGGCAGAGCTGAATATGTCTTAGGAATGTCTGGATAGAAATTCATTGGCAGGTAAACTATTTTCTGTATATGTATTCTGAATGTGTAATTAGCTGTTTGCCTGGAGTTAATCTATAAACATATTTTATAATTCCGCTAATGTAAGTATCTAAATTTTTCAATATACCAGCCTTTTGTGGATTAGATTTTATACTAGGAGAAGAAGAGTCATTAGTGCCAATCAGACTTTGCTGTATGCACATGTGCTGACAAGGAACATGTTGACAAGAAGAGAGAGAGAAGTGATTACTGCAGCATTCTTGCTGCTGCTCCTTCACTGTCCAATCACAGGCTGGAGGCAAGGAGGTGATTGTTTAACTGCAGTAGAGAAAAGAAAGGTAATTAACCTAGTTTTACTGTCCAGTATAGCTGTTTAAATCTCAGGACTGGCTGAATAGAATTACAAATCCTTTGGCAGGTAAACCAGCTCCCATATATGTATTCAGCCACTTACTGTAGCTGTTTGACTGGAGTTTAGCTTTAAAGAGAGCCATGCCTGACTTGCTTTTGAAAGTTCATGCGTCAGTGCTATCAACTTCCTTTTTTTATTAACCTCTTCCCACCTGCCCATTCTGAGCAGTGATCTTGTGACCATTGTCACTGGCTGTTACATTGGTCACATGATCAGGAGCCGATTCTTTCAGCTACTGATCATTGGTGGGAACTGAGGCCTTACTTAAACAGCTCAGTCCCTGTGCTGGGCTTGCACAGTGAGTAGACACGTGTGAGTCCTAAGCATTTGCATGCTCCGTTCTCCCAGCTGTCAGTGGGATTCCCCGACTGACAGCTGCAATGTAAATTTAAAAAATGCCAGCAATCATCGGTTGCTAAGAAGTGGGGCTGCCTTGTTCCAAACAACCAATGACTCATTCAGCTGTCAGTGGGGTTCCCCTGCTGATAGCTGAAGTGTACACAAGTCCCGGTAATAGGAGCTGTCAAAAAAAAAAAGCAGCTTGACAATGTTTATCAACAACATCGCTCAGCTGATAAATCATAAAGATAAAAAGAAACATTGTTTCATTTGGTATCTTTCTGTTTATTCATCTACAGATCAAAGGGAAGAACTTCAATATGCAGATGAAGTCAGTTAAAGTGTTACTATACCCAGGACCCTGCATTCACTATGTCTGATCTCCCACAGTACACAGAACATGGAAATGCAATTATTTTTGTAAATATAAACTGCTAAATACCTTTTTTCATCGGCAGTTAGATCAGTCTTGTGACTTCTATCAGTATCCAGCAGAACACACTGGTTAAAGCTTATAGGAGGAGTTTCTCTAGGAGGATGCAGAACCCTTGACCTCTGTCTGGACAGTGCTGATTGGCCCTGTGCTGATCACATGCACTCTCCCAAGAGAAAAAAAAAAACCTTTCTAGCAATACACACCAAACTGAGCATGTGCGGTGTCTCCACACCATATAGATAACAAAGATAATAAAATGTGTTTTATATAAGGGTATATATTAGGGGAGATCTCAATCTACAGTTACTGGTCATGGGTCACCGGCTCACCGTGTATTTTACAGTTTGGTACTCCAAAGCCATAGTCGTGTATAGAAGAAAAGCATAGGGAGGGCCAAAGGGGCCACCCTTACAGAGGCTTTAAAGGAGGACCAACCACAGTGTAACCAAACCATACAGCTTTATTGAGGTCAAAGTTTTATAAAATTGGTCAAATGACCAGCAATCCTCCAATCACCATTAAAATAAGCAGGAGAGTCCGCCATTAAGTGTCCTGGCAGCTGGTGGCTGCTTGTCCAGTGGGGGCGGGACCTATTGTTCAGGATCAACGCATTTCGCCCACTTGACCATGAGCTTCATCAGGACAAGTATTTGCGCTGCAATATATATATATATATATATATATATATTTATTTATTTATTGAAATATATTTTGAAATATATTGAATATGGCTAAAATTGTAGTATTTCAAATATATGTAACAATATATTTGGGAAGAATATTTTTAAAATATATTTCAAATATATTTTTCTTCCATATGGGTTTTTACACAATGCAGAGGATTAACCCCTTAGGATCCACAGTGAGTATAACAAGAATGCTTTACTGCATATACAGACTGATATTACTGTTGTGGGTTTAGTAACACTTTAAGGGCAACCTGTCAAGTACATTTTTTTTTAATTAAATGTTCCTCTGTTTAAACCTTCAGTAGCCCTTCATACACTTTAATCAGCCCTGATTCATAATTAAAACTTTGTTTTTGTTTGCTTTGTTCATTAATATTTTTACACCTTTAACATATACTGTATTTATACTTTTTATGTACAGTAACACTATTTATTGTTAAACTAACACTGCTCAAAAAAGTAAAAGTACTTTTTTTTAAAGTTTTGTTACATTTAATTGTCTAAGGATTGCAAAAAAAAATTCACTGTTGCAAGACAATATTCATGAAAAGAAAGTCTTGTTTATCCTTAGAAAACAATATATGTATTATGCAGGGGAGGACTGACCACGAGTGCACGAGAGCCCGGGTCAGTAGGGGGCCCCATTAGATGCCCCTGGTACCTTTCATAGGCTTTTTTGGGTATGGTTTGAGTGTGGGCAAGGACACAGGGGCCCCATGATCCTCTATTGCCCGGGGGGCCTCATGAGTTGTCAGTCCGCCCCTGGTATTATGTTGTTATCTTAAGTAATGACAAAGTTATAAACAAACAGATCCATAGCAGAAATGTAAAAATTGCTCTGGTACATAAGGGGTGAAAAGGTGTGACAGATGAAGTGGTTAAGGACCGGGCCACTGTGTCCTTAACAACCGACCACTCATTCAGCTGAAGTGTAAACAAAACCGTTGCCGGCAGGAATCGGTAATTGGTATCAACGAGTCCAAAAAAAAGTATTGGTACTCGTACTCACTGTAAAAAAAATGGTATTGGTGCATCCCTAGCGATTCCTTTAGTTATGAATCGAAATTCAGAGAACATTTTTGTTATTCGGAGTTTCGGATGTATCTGAAATTATAAATCACAATAGTAATGAAATTTCAACTAATCCAAAATAAATTATAACAAACCAAATGATCTGAATTCTTGGAAAAACAGAATTATCCGCCACCCAGCGAGGCATATGTGCAGCGTGTGAGCTTTTTTTCACCACGCATATGTGTTACGGGGACAGCAACAAGTTAAGGAGTGAATCACTGTTATGAAGCAAGTATGCAGGTCAATATTCCTGTCTTCACTGGCTACATACTTATTCAACTGCAAGATCTTTCAAAATTGTTACCTAAATCTAAACAAAGGAACAACAAGCGCCTGCAGCAAAAACCTCAACCAAAAAACATTCCCTTTCATCTCTGCCCATTTAATTGAAATATATGTAGTACGATATAATAAAAGGCAATTTTAATACAGACATCTACCTACTTAATTAGCATTACTCAGCAGAAGTTTAAAACTTTTTTAGTCCTTTCACAGCCACTGTCCCCAGTGGGAGAGCCATAGAAAGTCTATAAATTGAATTAATTCCCCATATAGACTGCTGCGGTCAATAGCATGCTGAGTTTAAGGTCAGGATTAAATTAGTTGTGTGCGGAACACAAAATAATGAAGTCAGGTATCAGACAAACTAATATCTCTAGTGATATACATATAGCCTCAGGAGCTATAAACAGGCAACAATATATTAATGAAGTATTACGGTATCCAGCCTAGAAGAATATGAAGGATAAGCCCATTAAGTAATTAAAAAAACTTGTACTGACAGAAATATAAAGGCTACTGATTCTGGTTGCACTCTGGCAGCAAATTACAGCAGAACATTTTAACTGTATGAAAGCCAGGCAGCTAGCATTTTTCACAATGTCAGCCTCCATATTAGTCTCATGTCTGGTTAACTTTAAGAGGGCCTGAACTGTGAAAGTAGAGCCCAAAAAGGCAGGCAGAGGGCAAAGGACTAGTCACCAATATTGCCTGTGGTCGCCTAGCAGCTGATCTTTTCCCCATTACTGACTTACCATATCTTGTTAATCACTGTGTCTAGGTGCAGAGGTGGCCATCTGTGTACAGGCAGGGCTTTGCTTCCACATGTCAAAACTGCTCCACTGATGACTGGTGGAAGGATAATAAAGAAACAGCAGAAGAGGTTAAGGAAGCACAGAACCACATAATGGAGGAAGCCAAAGCAGGGAGATCCTACACTACAGATCCTCCAGTACAGGTTCCTCTCCAGCAAGGACAACAGTAAGCAGTACAGTGGTGACATCACCAAATCTCACTCCAAAACTGCTAAGACTAGCATTCAGAGGCAGCAGTGCCTTAGATAATCTTACACTGCAGATATACAGCTATGAGGCTGTAGGCCCAGTAAGTGCACTGCTGAAAGGAATTCAAGACAAACAGTTTCATTTACATTTTACTGCTTAGGCACAATAAACATTTCTAGATGTCCCCTACAAAATAGTAAATCTTAGTTATTTTTTAGTTTGTGTCCATTTTAACATTTAACCCATAAAACTCTAGACTCACCTTATTAAACTCTGAATTATCACAGTACCACATTAAATGCAATGGCAACGTATTCACCTGCTTTTAGAGATTTTATGTACGTCTGAAGATCTTAAAGTGAAAACTCAAAATGTAACATAATGGAGCTTACCAATCATTAGATGTGCTGGTCTGGCTAGTAACACATGTCTTGTATTAGGGTGGTTCCACTCTCGATGAAGGAGCAACAGAGTCACCTTTGGACAGCAGAATTGTCAGTCTGAGGGAGGGGAGTGTTGGATGCACTAGCAGATTTAAACAGTATGTGAACCCTCACCTTATAAAACAACCCATTCTGTTTAAAATAAAAATGAAAGGCAAAGCATTTGTGTATTTGTTAAAAAAAAACCCCAACATTCTAAATACCTTTTTTGTGAATACATAATCTCTGTTCTCAGCTGCATAAAGGGTATGGAGAGGTGGGAGTGGAAAATGCAGGGTGGGAGCAGTGTCAGCAGGAGGCAAAGAAACAGCAGTATACTGATCTTTCCAGTGAGTGGCTGTGCTGATAGTTGCATCAACACAAGTCTAATCATTGAAAGGCAGGCTGTTCTCTCAGCCAACCTAGAAAACTGACCATACTGGGATGGATGTGCACCCATGCCTAGTGTGGTCAGTTTGAATCACCAGGAATTTCACACAAAGGAAGCAATGCAAAAATAATAGGATACTTTTTAATACAAATATATGTTACAACAAATACATATCAGGAATATAAAATGAGGTGGTAACAAAATCTTTAAATACACTAACTGTAAGAGATTCTGTATATAGATTGTACGCTCCTTGAGGGTAGGGACTGATGTGAATGTACAATATATATGTAAAGTGCTGTGTAAATTGATGGTGCTATATAAGTATCTGTAATAAAAAAAATACCCCTACAGAACAAACAGTGCACAGTCCACATGTTTATCTGCTACGTTTCTACAAACAGAAACCAGGAACTTTTATTCAGAGAAAAGTCATAGAGTATACAGTAAACACCACCATCTACTGGTTGAAGAATATACAGTGGGGATCGAAAGTTTGGGCACCCCAGCTAAAAATTTGTATTAATGTGCATAAAGAAGCCAAGGAAAGATGGAAAATCTCCAAAAGGCATCAAATTACAGATTAGACATTCTTATAATATGTCAACAAAAGTTAGATTTTATTTCCATCATTTACACTTTCAAAATAACAGAAAACAAAAAAATGGCGTCTGCAAAAGTTTGGGCACCCTGCAGAGTTAATATCTTGTACCGCCCCCTTTGGCAAGTATCACAGCTTGTAAACGCTTTTTGTAGCCAGCCAAGAGTCTTTCAATTCTTGTTTGAGGTATCTTTGCCCATTCTTCCTTACAAAAGTCTTCCAGTTCTTTGAGATTTCTGGGCTGTCTGTCACGCACGGCTCTTTTAAGGTCTAGCCATAGATTTTCAATTATGTTGAGGTCAGGAGATTGTGAAGGCCATGGCAAAACCTTCAGTTTACGCCTCTTGATGTAATCCCCGTGGGATTTCCAGGTGTGTTTAGGAACATTATCCATTTGTAGAAGCCATCCTCTCTTTAACTTCAGCTTTTTCACAGATCGCATCAAGTTACCATCCAAAATTTGCTGAAATTTTATTGAATCCATTTTTCCTTCTACTCGTGAAATGTTCCCTGTGCCACTGGCTGCAACACAACCCCAAAGCATGATTGATCCAACCCCATGCTTAACAGTTGGACAGAGGTTCTTTTCATTCAATTCTGTGCCCCTTCTTCTCCAAACGTACCTTTGCTCATTCCTGCCAAAAAGTTAAATTTTAACCTCATCGGTCCACAGAACTTGTTTCCAAAATGCATCAGGCTTGTCTATATGTTCATTTGCAAAGTTCAAACGATGATTTTTGTGGTGAGGACGTAGAAGAGATTTTCTTCTGGTGACTCTTCCATGAAGACCATATTTGTACAAGTATCTCTTTATAGTGGAATAGTGTACCACAACTCCAGTGTCTGCCAGATCTTTCTGGAGGGATCGTGCAGTCAAACGTGGGTTTTGAATTGTTTTTTCTCACAATCCTGTGAGCTGTTCTGTCTGATATTTTTCTTGGTCTTCCAGATCTTGCTTTAACTTCCACTGTTCCTGATGACTGCCATTTCTTAATTACATTCCGAACAGAGGATATTGACATCTGAAAACGCTTTGCTATCTTCTTATAGCCTTCTCCAGCTTTGTGAGCGTCAACTATTTTCAGTTTTTTCTAGACAACTGCTTAGAAGAACCCATGGTGCTGATTGTTGGGGCAAGGTCAGATGAGTCTGGGCATTTAAAACCTTTGAGATTGACATCACCTGGTCTTCCCAGACGATGATTGAGAACAATCCATGACACTGGCAGGTCTCAGCTTGGCAAAGGGGGCAGTGCATGCTATAAATTCTGCAGGGTGCCCAAACTTTTGCAGACGCCATTTTTTTGTTTTCTGCTATTTGAAAGTGTAAATGATGGAAATAAAATCTAACTTTTGTTGACATATTATAAGAATGTCTAATCTGTAATTTGATGCCTTTTGGAGATTTTTCCATCTTTCCTTGGCTTCTTTATGCACATTAATACAAATTGTTAGCTGGGGTGCCCAAACTTTCGATCCCCACTGTATCTCTATTGAATACTAAGATAAGGTTGTTGTACAAAATACACAAACAGTGTATTCCAACACCTCCACTCAACAACTACTCCTTATATTAGTCCCATTTTGGATCTCTTGATCAGCAGCTCTGATCCTCTTTTGTTTCTCATGGGTTGGCAGTCTTTGCATCTCATCCCATGAATCTGGCTCTGGTTTTAATGCTATGCGAGTAACATAGGACAGACATTCTGCTGGGATGCCTTTATTGCTTCTGGTGGATTTCCTGATTGAAGCCTCTTCTGGCCTGGTTTCTTCTTTTACAATATTTGTGTTGTCTGCGTTAATTTTTATTTCTGTGTCACTTTGTTGCTTATCTTCATATAACACTGATGTGGAATCTCCCTTAGTTTGAAGTGTTTGTGTTAGTTCATGAAATTTTGAACACAGTGAAATTTCATCGACAAATACACTTCTACTGATGGTTACCTTGTTTGTGTCTTGATGGAGAATTCTTTATCCCTTCTGAGATTCACTGTACCCCACA